GTATTTTTCGGTGGCTTGTCTATTTTACACTATCCCTCATTTCATTTTAATCTGATTTCATTTTAATCTGCCACAATAAATAAAGCGATCATTAGATATTTACATGCCATAAAAATTTATTTAAGCCACAGTACACAAAATAATTAGTAAAATTAAAATTTTCAATGAATATTTGATACTTTGGTTAATAGATAATTTTAAAAAACAATATAAATTTACTATAAATATAGTAAAAAGATAATCAATATATATCAGTAGGATCCCAACAGAATTTTGTTTGTGATTTTCCGAGTGAATCCAAAGCTTCCATATCCTATTACAATGTGAAATTAACCAATGCTTTTCTTTACACAATAATTATAATTACGTAAATACAAAAAACAAACCTCATTTGATAATTCAAAGTTAAAAATGTTCATATTTTCTTTAATCCTTTTCGCATTAGTAGATTTAGGTATAACAATAAACCCATGTTGATGTCCCCATTTCAACAGAAGCTGTGCTACACTAACCCTATTTTTCGTTGCAATGTCCTTGATTACTGGTATTTCAACTTCTCCATTAACTAATTTACCTTCTCCTAAACTTGAATACGCTTGAACTAAAATATTATGTTTTCGACATAAATCAATTAATTCTTTTTGATAATATAATGGATGCAATTCAACTTGTAAAACTGCTGGAATAATGGTACAATGGGATAATAAATCAGTTAAATGACGATGAGTGTAATTGCTCACTCCAATGGCTCGAATTTTTCCAGAATTATAAAGATCTTCAAGAGCTTTGTAACTAGCTTTACGGTTTATGGCGTTTTGTGGATCCGCAGGTTTTAGTTTTTGAGTTCTTTACAAAATAATATATTTGATTAATGAAAAAATTTTCAAATATGTAATCAACTCTGAATATAATAACATAATGGAATCTAAATTTATTATGCGTTTAACAATTAGGATGATCTTTAATTAGTTATATACAGAGTTGACTATAAGACTGTAGATAAAGAATTTACCCAGGCCAATGAATTAAAAACAAATCAAGGTAATCCA